TTTCCTGCAGGTGAGGAGTGACTGCAGCTCTGATTTCTCACCTCGACGTTGCAGACAATGTTTGTGTTTGCACACGCATTTCAGAGTTCTCGCTAAAACTTTCCCCCCAAATACTCTGAGGTGACGTACACAGGAGGCACGGAGACAGGAGAGCAAAAACCTTCCATTTGCATAGCGCCATCGCACAGACCAAGTGTGGGGGCTGAGAAGGGGGGGCCGGGTTTGGTGGAGGGGGAGGTGAAGGAGTTATGCCAGGAAGACTGCCTGGAGAGGTTGCCTCAGCTGGACACAAACTGCAACATGGGAGCTGCCTGACACCAAAGACTGAGGGGGAAATTCGACACTGTCGAGGAAAAAATGTTTTCTTGGCTCTGGGCTCTGGGAAGAATCAGTCATGGAAGGTTGCTCCTAAGGGGTGTTTAAGAACAAAGGGTCCTTGATAGAATTTTTATCATTAGGGCTGCTCCTTCCTTCGACTCTTAGTAAATGCCACAGGCATGGACCTCAGCGGTCCTGAAAGACAGGGAGGTGGATGGGCAGCGGCTAGGAGTGACTCCGGTGTGACTCCCTGGGTTATAACCCTGGCTCCGCCGCTTTCGGTAATGGGACGTGGCAACGTTAGTCTGGGCCTCAGTTTCCTCATCTGTAGAAAGGGGGGTGAGAGCAGTACCTAGCTCACAAGGCGGTTGTGAAGATTCAGTGAGGTCATTTATGTGTCGTGCTCAGAACAAGACCTGACATGCACTCTTAAGTGCTGGCGGTTTTTTGGGGCAGGAGTCCGGAGTAGGGATTGGCAAACTATGGCCCTTGGGCCAAATGCGGCCCACCACCTGTTTGTGTAAATAAAGTTTTATTGGAACACCACCACACTCGTTCATTTACATTACATCTAAGGCTACTTTCATGCTACAGAGGCAGAGTTGAGTAGTTGCAACAGAGTCTGCATGACCCACAAAGCCCAAAATATTTACTTATTTATTTATTTGGCCCTTTATAGAGAAAGTTTGCCGACCCCTCACCTAAAGAAAGGAACGGAAGGGCTCGAGCAATGTCTGCACATGGGTGTTCTGGGCCTGATTCTAAGCCTCCCTCTGGCCTTACTTGGGAGAAGTCTCTCGTCCTACACAGTGCCTCTCTGGGAATGACATTTTGGAGTGATGGCCACAAAACACTCATAGAACCTCTTGGTAGGCTGAGTTGTTTCAGGGCTTCCCAGGCCATGGGAAAATGGAGTCAGCTCTGAGAGAACAGGCCATCAGTATTCCAGGCTGCGGGGAGCCGGCATGCAACGGGATGCCCAGAGGCGAAGCTTTTGTTTAGCACATACATTAATAAACACTGTAAGCCACTCCTCCGTTCCACTTCATGAACCTCCCTCGGTCTGGAGTGCAAGGCAATTCTGCTATTGACTGATTAGCAGGTGGTGTCAGAATATATAAGGGATCAACAAGGCGGAGGCATGTCATGGTGCTTTACCGCTTCTCAGAAATTCAAGGAGTAAACAGAGTCGACCCAGGGTTGAGTGTCACAGACTCTGGGAAAACGGGGCTGATTTTCTAGGCAAAGGCCTGGCTTTAGCGTGCCCCATTAGGAGTCCCGAAGCCAAGCTCGGGTTAACCTGTTAGCAATGGTATCTAGAGAGCCAAATTCTAATCGCGGAAAACACGTAGGGCATCTATGAGCTTTTCCGTGAGCACAGCATTCAGTTTAACAGCCACAGATGGTATTTTCTGGACAACAGACGACAGACAGTGAAGTTAACACATGCCAGTTGAGAAGTTTAGCTAACCAGCATTATCTTCATTGTATTTCAGACACCAACAGCTTTTGTTAGCCCATCACGGCTCTTACCCTTCAACTTTCGGTTGGTATGGGTTGGCAATCTGATGGCAAACAACAGCAACTGTCTTCCTACGCTGAGCGCTCTCCATGGGCAACATCCACGCTACGCACGGTCCCTTCCACCCAGGCCTGACCACCCAACGGCCAGGAGGTAGACGAGCAGTGCTGGCCCCACTTCACAGACGGCAGGAGGCGGCTCTCGCTGGTCGCTGGTCACTGTCCTTGGCTGCACTGCTCTGGGCCTCAGAGAGCCGTGCAGGTGTTCAAGGAGGGGTGTGGCACAATCAGGGGCATCCTAGAAAGTCACCTGTAGACTCAGGGACCACAGGCTTCCTGGCTTGGGCCGTGCAGCCAGAGATGCAGGTACCTGATGGAAGACAGTAGGCCTGGGGGAAGGAGGAAAGACCTGAATCTGGTTTAAGACTTCTTGAGTTGGAGGAGCCTACCAAAGCTCCGGTTTAGATGTCTGAAGAGAGAGGGGGAAACGCGGACCTGGAGCTCCCTCCTCTGTCCTCTCACCGTCAGCTTCCACAATTACTACATCCTGTTGCAGCTCATTGTCACGCTTTAATTCTCCTACAGCAGACATTAGACCTTACTGATGTGGGGGCTATACTCCCCTCCCCTCTGACCCCAAGACTCAAAAGGGGCCTTGTACAGGGCGGGCAGGGGTGCGCTGTGGGCGAACAGAGCAGTTTCAGAGTCCAAGTGCCCATCAGGGGAGGCGACCGGGGTTGTGTGTGGGCGGGGGGGGGGAAACGGCGGCTCCTGCCCACAAGGAGGTCCCAAGCTAACTTGGGATGCAAACCACACAGACTCAGAAGATGACAGCATCGATTAATCTACTGAGGCAGCACGGAGTCCACAGGTGCCACATGAGGGGTGTGGGCTGCTGCAGAGACTACATCAGGTTAAGGCCGGCTGCGTGGAGCAAGTGGTACTTGGGCTTTGTCAACCGGGTAGGAGTCTGACTGCTTGGAGACAAAGCGGTCTTCTCAGTGATCTCCTAGAAAGAAGGTGGGAATTCTCTGGGCTCTCTTTCCCTGTCCTTTGAAAACAGGGCACACTGAACCCAAGCCATAGAAAAGGCAACTGGTGGGCAGCCTATACTTTTAAAGGCTCCCCCATGTGACTCTAAGGTGCTGCCAGGGCTGAGAACCTCTGGTTTACATGCACTGAATTTTTTCGAACCAGTAACCCTAGCAGGACAGAACAAACACTCAAGAGATGGGAACCCCTCAGATGCCTGGGGAGAGTCATCCAGGGACAGATTTTAATTTGTGATTTAACTCGATGGAGGAGAAACCATGAGGAGGTCAGGAAGCAGGGGTCCTCCACTCCCCAACCCCCACCACCCTAGGGGAGTTCAAGCGATCTTGGGGAGTTGGGGAAGCATACCAAGTTAGTCCTGAATCCCTTTTAAACAGTAAGCTAGCAACATGGCACTTTCAGAAGGAAAAAAGGGATGGGCGTCGAAGCATCAGGTGTCTCCAAGTGCTGAGCACTGCTTCAAATGCCTAGCGTGGCCTCGGATGACATGGCCTTGGAATAGCCGCAATTTCTACTTTTCCCAATCCAGTCTAGTTGAAGAACTGGTTTTGAAGAGACCTGCTGTTGCTTAGTATTTCCAAGTCAGAAGACATAACCTCAAGTGACCCTGGCAGGATTCCTAGGAAGCACTCCCTGTGGGCAGTGGATGCTCCAAGCTCAGCGGGATAATCTTCCACCTGTCTCCTAGCGCTTTCCCTCCCTCCCAACCATTCTAAGTCCCAAACTCTACAACTGCCAGTGAGGGCAACTTGAAAAAAAATCCTAAGTCCTAAAACATCGTAACATTCCATGGCTCTCCGGATGTCGGATTGGAGGGTCTACGAACAGGCAGAACAACATTCACCTTTCCAAATGGTCAAGAACAGGGTATTACACACTGACCTTGTCAACGCAGCTGAGAGGAGATGAACAGTTAAGTGTCTATTCCTCAGAGACAAGACATGAGGAGGAGGCGGGGCTGTGAAACTCTACAGCTTAGCAAGTTGGAAACGGGGAGAGAGGTGAGCTTTATAAAAGCCAGGTGTTGGGTCCACTGTGATTTTAGATCAACCAGGAGGCAGTCTGGTAAAGCAACGGAACAGGAAGGGAAAGATCACAGTGAGTGAGGGCACCCCATATGCTCAGGGACACTGACCCTGAACACCGCAGCTGGGCACTCCAGGACTCAGCAAGAGGCCAGAAGGGGTGATCCTGACCCCAGGCCCCCTGCTGGCAGTGCCCGCCCAAGAGCAACACCCTAGGCTCCTTGGGTCCCCGCTGCCCTGCCCAGCCGCCTTCGGCCTGAACGTTTGCTTTCGCATCTGCACGATGTGGATGACGTCTAAACTCTCTTTCAATTATCCTACTGAACTGTAATCGTCTGTGCGTGTGTGTCTCCCACACTGGACTGTGTGCTTTTATTCACCTTGCTGCCTTTGGCGAGACCCGAGTGCTGAGCTTTAGCGCTCAGCATCCCGAATGACAGACTGGCCCTGCAAACACAAACGCTAACTCTGAGATAAACACTAGGAAAATCACCTCAGGAAACAAAGATCACCTGGAAATATAACATTCTGTATGAACCCATCCATGCAGCTGGCCACCTCTCCTAATGCTGAGCAGCTCCCGAATGTAAGATGGGACCATGAGAAAATAGCTGTGAGGTGTCCCGAAACAAGAAGAGTGGAAATGACAAGGTCTCAGGACAGGTGAAATGCCGTCCCAAACCAAAAAGCCACCATCTTCAAACAATCAGAGGCTGATGACAAAATCCTCACTGAGTGCTTCTAGAAATACTATGGGTTTTCCCTATTTTTCCCCTTGAAACATAATTAAAAAAAAAAAAAACCTCTGAGACTGCTAAGAAATAACCCTTCTTTAGTTTTCTGCTTACTTTTAAAAGCAGAAAATTATCTAAGAAAGCAAATGTAACAGGTTAATATGGTATAGACACATTTCATGAATAGGAGTTTGCGGTGAAAAAATTTTAAAAACCGTGTTTTTCCTTTATTTTTCCCACAGTGGCAGGGCCGCACAACAGAGACTTCTTGAGAAAGTGGCAGAGAAGTGGTCCGCAGCGTGCTGAACCTAGACGTGGCACTGGGGAAACAACCACTCAAGCACACAAGTGGCATTTTGTGATCAAATTTATTTTTTGTTTCAATTTCATTTACTTTGTTTTACTGTAATTTACACAAGAGACTGCCAAGTAAACTAGATATTTTACATTCACCACACATTCCCTCAAATCTCCACAGTTGTTAGGAAAACATTAGAATCCGTGCGCTGGGCATGGATTTCCATGTGCGCCCAAGCTCCCAACGAAGCTACAGATGCCAGTGAGAGTTTAGTCCATTAAAAGGAGAGGGCGAGACTCTTTATTTCACAAAATTAGCAATAATCTTCCTTGCACCAAACACTTTGCAGACAATGATTATGCTTTGACAACACCTATCTTATAACAGTGCCCAGAGAGTAAACATCAGTCTTGATCCTGAGTACACAGAGGACATATTTGACGTGGGGTTCGGAGCCAAGGCGAAGAGGGCATCGCGGTGCGGCAGTGATCCTCAACACCCTCGTCTGACTCACTGCCACCACCTCAGTGGGGACACAGGGCGTATGGGAAAATGAGGAGCAGGGCGGGCAGGACTGTCAGCAAATCAGATTACAAACGTGATAGGACTACAGGGGCCAGTGTGTTGCAGGAAGGACGAGAGGTTAAAGAAGACAGTTTGTGACCAGAAGGCTTCAACAGTATCTTTCTAGTCAAGCTTCCAGGACTGACGGGAGAAAAACCGGATTTGGACAGAGAGAGCTGATAAAAATCTTACCTAGCTATGGCTCCTTTCTTAAAGAAGGAAGGAGGAGGAGGACAAGGTGGCAGCGGCTGCCAACCAGCACGTTCACGATGCTCACACGTGACAGGTTCCAATGGCGTCCTACTAGAGAGCACCTCCCCATGGGTGGCGGCGAACTGGCCCCTCAGCGGGGCCTCCCAGGCAAGGAGACCAGCCTGTGCTGCCTCTGAAATTCCGCTATCTCAAAGGCGGCGCCTCCCCCGCGGGGCGTATTTCACTATGAAAAGCACAAAAAAACCAAAACCAAAACCGTCACCACTATCTGTATTCTAGCGTGTCAGCTGTGAGGAATCTAGATCATTTGCATAGTCTCCAAGCTCTAATTTCAGAAAACAGTCATTTCAGAAACAAGACTCCATGGAAGTGCTCTACTTCCAAAAGTTTTCCTACAGCCTACGATGCTATTCATTTCTTCATCAATTTCTTTGTTTGCCTAACAGGAGCCTGAAAATTGTGTAAGTGTTTATTATAAATCACAAACCATCATCTCCATTTTTGCTAGGTTTGATGTAGAAAAATATTGAAATTTAAAATACAAAAATCCAATAAAAACCAGAATTTTTTTTTTTTAAAGGATTTTTTCCCTCAGGGCAAACAAGTAAAAATTGGCTGGTAACTATACTCCTTACTAATAGACATTGTCCAATTTGAATTTAAGATAATAACCATCCAGAAATAAATCATTATAAATACATTCAGAGTTTACATTCCAGATTCACTGGAATACCAAAAGATTTTGAATAAATTTTTCTGTGGGAGTCTGTTGCTTATGGGACTAAAATAAAAATATTAAGATTTAAAAGAACAGCAAGATTTAAAAGAACAGAAAAGTAATAAAAGGCTATATATATTGGTCCACAATTTGACATTTATGAAACATACCAGCTAGTATTACATTGCAGTCAATTTGTCCATTAATGGTATTACTCTGATAATTATTAAAATCTGTTCCAGGTATATATATTGAAAATATTTTCTTTTGCATTCTTGAAGATAGGTACAGTACTTTGGAGAAATTGTACTAATCCTTTCAGTATGTTTGTATGTACATATATACACAAGTGTGTGTATCTTGATCTGTAGCTCTACATGCGTTTTATATACAGCTACAGATATATACACACACACACATATATATACATGTGGTTGGGAACCTGTGCGTGTGAGTACATCATCACAAGCACACATCTGGGAAACGTCAACACTGCAAGATACTGGTCAGATTCTTCTTCACTCATCACTGGCGGCACTTGTTCCCCTCACTTGACCTTGATTACGTAACTGTAAAAAAAAAAGCGAAAGACAGGGCAATATTAAAACAGAGACGCACAAAAAATGTTATCGTGTCACATACATTCTCCAGAAAAAAAAAAAAAAATCCTCAACATGGCAAAACTTTTGCAGAAAACGTACCCCAACTACTACATTTAAAAAATTTAATCTCTTGAAGATTTTGGTTTCACTATGACATAACATTTTGTTTCAACAGGGAGAAAATAAATTGGAAGTGGAAATAAGTCACAGAACTTGGAAGAATTTAACAAAAGTAACAATAATCTTTTTTTTTTTTTTTTACAGGAACACTGTATTTAAAGACAGGGCTCTGGAGGAATCCGGGCAGAGTTTCTTCATTCTTATTTATACAACTACTTGTGTTCACAACTGAATACTCCATTTCTCCCCTGTTCGATAATTAAAGAGCAGGTAGCACAGTAAGGGGGCAGCAAAGAACCACAGTGAGTGAAGAGAGTGTTCTGTTTTGTTCTTTCCCTCAATACTGTAGCTCAACAGTAACAACGGGCAGCAGTGGACTGTCCCCTTGTGTGTACTCATGCTGGTTTTGGTATGTGGGGTAGATTCTGAGGCTCTTTTTTCCCCTCGAGGAAAATCTCTTATCTGAGCATATAAATTTGTGTTAGGGAAATAAAGCCACAGAAATGTTTTATATTATAGTGAAAGCCAAAGTGTATACTGTAAAGGTAACTGAAGATTCAATGTGAAGGAAGACACTGAGATGTTCGGAAAAAATTTCAACTACAATGAATCACTAAGGCTGCCCTTCTGGTATGGGATGGAGGATCTCTGGTTTAAAATGCTTTTACGTATTTCCTTACTAACCACATACGGTTCTATTGAGAAATAGGTCAAATAACTGGACATCAACGAAGAATCAGCTGGCTTCCAGGACAACACTACGTGATGAATGAGTATGCCTGGCAGTTGGTCTCTGGCCCTAACACTAAGAACTAACTGGAGATTACTAAATTCAACCTGTTCCACAGATAAAACTCTTACAGAATAATAACTTAAGTGTTCCATGTCAATCTCTAAAATATGTATCTCTTTAAATTCTAAAAATTAAACCACATTTAATACTTAGTCTCTGCTCAGCAAGTTAACTACCCATTACCAACAAGGTATTGGTTTTTAAACATTCTTTTTACCCAGGTCTTCACTTACACAGTTTGATATTGTCTCTGACCCTACAGGGGACTCATCTAGACATCAGCAGCCGACGTGCCTCGGACGGAACCCTTCTTACGCATCTAAACGTAAAATAAAATCATGAGCTGCTGAAATCACAGACTCTAAATTGGGTTAGTAAGCGAAGGCAGAAAAAAGATCTAGGAAAGATTGTGAATGACTGCTGCCTGTTCATAACCACATCCACACTGAGAATGAAGTTCTGAGGTCCCTCTAGTAAAGTTGGTTATGTAAGGAAAATCCTGCAAAAGGCTTTTCTTACAACAACACAAAAAATGTGTATCTATTCTTGAATCCAGGAAACAAAAGCCTGCAGAATGATGGTATGAAATTATCAAAGACAGCCAAGGGTAAATGAACTGTTGTTCACTAATACCATGTGAGAAAATGCCCTGATGGTCTGATTCACATTTTCCTAGTCCCTAGACCAGACAGGAAGACACAAGGTGCGGCCACCTCTACTGCTTCTGAGACTAGAGTCCCTGAGAGGAGTTCTTTATGGGAAGTTTATTTAAAAGAAGGAGGACAAAAGGAAGAACAAGTGAGCATGGGAACAATGTACGAGAAACAACAAAGGACATAAGGATGCATCAGAAAGGACAGGCATTCGTAACAGCAGACCACAGACAATTCCAAAAAAAACTCAATGAGAAAATCAGAAAAGAATGGACAGAAAAAGGAACAGATGTAATAAACCCCTTTCTAAACCTCAACACTTCTCCCCGACCCCCAGAAGTGCCAGCTGTGAACAAACAGGCAGAAAGTTTACCCCCAGTACTTCTTTAGCAGCTGGGCCTTAAACCCATATTTCTCTTTAGGATTCCAGGCAGGGGCATTCCTGTCATGCCTAAGCTTTCAAGATGCTGTTCCTTTTCTCCAGAGCCAAATCCCGTATGAGCAATACCCAAGTCTTAAAATATTTGCAAATTAAGAAGAGAATTACAATGTATCAAACTCTATCATCAGGTGTCAGGGAAATAGGACCTCAAGAAAAGGGGAAATTCCCTGGGTGGTGGAGAAGACTTGGAAGTGTTAAGCCTCGTCATGAGGCAGGTGCTTTCTGGGTAGGCACTTTGGCCTGCAGGCATGCTACTGCCCAGAGTCTGAAGATACTAACAAACCAACTGTTAGGGCTTGAAGCAGCAGCAATGTGATGTGGAATAAAGCACTCCCCAATGACCCAGAGCAAAATAACTTAAATGGGATTTTAAGTTACAATGATCAGCACAGAATGCTGAAATTGCCCTAAAATGTTTTTCAGATCTCTAATAAAGAAACGGCCATGTACCCCCAAACCCTGAACCAACAAAAGATTTCTACCAACATCATGTGGGAATCAGTCAGGCTGAGCCATGTAGGCACAACAACGATGATATCTTCTAATAAACGGGGCTTCTGTGTAACTACTTGTCTACCTTACGGACCTGCACGGAGAAGAAAGGAGCTGAGCCTGCAGGCCCTCGGCAAAATCCCCACCTCCTCATCGGGGCACTCACTGTGTTTACACTGGGAATGCTCTGTGTCCTGAGACTGAGAACTTGGGATGGAAGTAAGGGCACTCTCCTAAGGGAAGAGGTCCCAGCCAAGTTCTGTCCGAGAAGTCCAGAGGGTAGGCAGGGTTCAGAGCTCCAACCAGGGAGGGCTCCATCCCTCACCCTCCAACCATGACCTCTTTTCCTCATGTTATGGACAGTCCTCTCAGCATAAAAATCAAAACCAGGGGCGCCTGGGTGGCTTAGGTCGGTTAAGCGTCTGCCTTCAGCTCAGGTCACGATCCTGGGGTCCTGGGATTGAGCCCCACGTTGGGCTCCCTGCTCAGCGGGGGTCTGCTTCTCCCTCTCCCTCCGTGCTCATGCTCGCTCGCTCTCTCTCTCAAATAAAATCTTAAAAAAATCAAAATCAAAACCAAAACTCCTTCTCGAGAGCTCAAACCAAGAAAAGTTAAGTATGTTTTGTTTTATCTCAGCACTGGCAAATCCTTTTTGAAGACAGCAAGGCTATGCGGTGAGCTCAGTGAGAATGAGTGTCAGCACGCTGCTTTTTTCCTAATGTTCAGCTGAGCCTAGCAGCTCAGAAGGGCTGGGGACAGGGGCAGGTATCTCTGGGGCCTGGAGCACATAGAGGGAGCAGAATCAGGCAAGGCAGGGGAGAAGGGACTAAAACTGGGCAGGAGCAGGGGTGCTTCTCAGAGAAGGGCACTGGACTCTTGAAAAAGGGGAGACAAAAGTGGGAGAGGGGCATGGGGAAAAAAGGAAGTACCCATGACTTACTCTTGCCGGTTTAAATATTAGGGGCCAGCCTAAAGCTATGGGGGTGAGGGAGAGCCCTCTGTTTGCCATTCTATCACCCTACTCCCGAGATCCAGAACTCAGAGTCATACTATTAGTATGAGAAATGGAGGTCAAAGAGGCTTCTATTGTCTGGCCTAGAAACCAAACTCCAATTTATTATGTTGTCTCCATGGTAAAACATGTCCCAAATGCCAAAAAATCAACTTAAAAACTTTTGGAACAAAATCCATTCATAAGTTGGAGACTGCCGAAAGTTTACTTTCTGTATAAGATAAGGTTAAAACATTTTACTGCCTTATAAAGAAAGTAAGTCCTAGTCCTCTCAGAAGGTTTGTATAAAGCTAATTAGAAGCAGATCTGCTGTAATCACCAAAAGTAAGCAATTTTAAACACAGATTCTTTATGATGCTGTGTGCCAGACAAATAGATTTCCTTTTGTGCCAAAGAATGATTTGCCGCGATTCTCCTGTGATTAAGTGGGGGTCCTGCCTCACACACAGGCGTTTGTCAAACACTCCCCACCTGCAGGGCTTCCAAAACTGGGACTGCTGGCGGGACTCTGGATGACTGCATGGAAACCACTAGCCTATCCCGGACATTCCTTGGGTTCACTTGCCCCCAGGAGGGCCTTACTTTCAACTGAAAAGCAGTGTAGTCCGGAGCAAAAGCAAAACCAGATACTTAGAGGAAGTGGGAAGAATCCATCCCTGGCAGAAAGGGGGTGCCCACACGATGCAGCTGCCCTGCTCACTGGTGGTGGGCGGGAGCTTTAACTGTGAAACATGGCATGCTGACCTCCGGCCCAAGCCATCACCTCAATTTCTGCCTAAAGCTTATGAAGAGCTAAGGATTCAGTGCTAGCTGTGGGAGGGAAGGAGGCATTTCTGGCATCTGTGACAGTATAGCTAGGCTTATCTTTTCTACAGAAGAGGGAAGTAGGACTTACTGTGCGAACATCAGTAACTTACAATGATAACAAAATGAGCCAAAGGCAACTTGGTCTGATCAAGTGTATGCCTAAAAGGACTATGAACCAGGTACCATCAGAGAGAACTGATGCATGACAAAGAATACAAAACCACTGGGCATCTTAGAGGTAACCAACTCTAGATCAATAAAGCTCTATTCTGCTTTCATGGAAGATGCTCAAGAAAAGTTTCAAATCAGAACATGCGAGGGATGTTAGTGTCTAAGAAACCAGATTTTGATGAGGGTAAATATTAAAAAACGGCTTGTAATGACACTCTTCTTAATCCTAAATCTACACTTACTCAGCGTGCACACAGTTTTAGAGAGTGGCAATGAGAGAATTTGCACAAACAGGGAAGTCTTACTGTTTCTAGTTCTTTCTGAGTTTCATCCTCCATTCTCCTAATGTCTTCCATTGTCAGATCAATCCACTTGTCAATCCAACAAAAAAGCTGGCGATGAAAGTTTGTAAATATCCTTTTTTCTTGCTTTTAAAACAAAGAAGAGTAATGTAAGACAGCAAAAATCTAAGATTAATAACATACTAACTTTCTACGTCCCAATTAACCCATGCAATCTCCATATACCTGGTTTGAAAAGACCACTTTGTCGATTAGTGGCAATCTTAGTTCCATCCCATTATCATTTTATAAAACAAAAGAAAAAGAAAAATCTCCCTGTGAAATGTGAATCTTTCCTCGCAAAGGTAGCACAATTTATCAGGAACGGAAAAAACCATGGGGCACACATTCTGATCCAACATCAACTCCTGCTAGACCTGATCTATTTTTACCTTTTTCTAAATCTCAGTGACCAAAGGTCAACTCGATTTCTTCTACTATAGACTATCCACGGTCATTCTTCTCTGCAATTCAAAGGAATACTGTGAGGTTGAATATAATGTGTACTGAAACTAAAGAATCCTGGTTCTTTGGAATAAGATGTTTATTTAAATCAAGAATTATTACACACTCTCCATCAATTTTTATACTCCCATATTACTGTCACTACACACACACACACAACCATGTACATAATGAGTGGTTTTAATTGCTGCATTATTTAAATTTTACTAAACTTTCCCAAGAAGAGAGAAAAATGCACTGAACAGTGAGTACTTTAATACTTTTGGACAATCTTCAACTCTAAAATTTTTTTCCACGAACAGAAGGGACTTCATCAATTACACGTGTGATGAACTAGTTGTTAATCTATTACTATGATCCAAGAGGAAGGAAGGAAGCCAACATTTACAGAGTGCCTACCATGGGCCAGCTGTAAGCAGGCCCAAGAGTAATCAGTTTCCAGCACATTAGGACCCTTTTAAAAAAAATGTCAGAGCGGTTCCAGCTTAACAGCAGAAAAGTTATGGTGGAACAGATACAAGCAGTTGTGGGTTCAGAGGCGTACCAGGGGTTTCTTAATAATGGTAATAGAAGAAATAGTCATACTACAGGAAAAGTAGACACCGAAGAAACTTTTCATGTTCCCTATGTGTTTTCAACATGTGTACCTATTTACACAGCTCCAACTCTCCCCTTTCTAGATCAAATTGTCCATGTTACTTTCACTTCAATAAAGAAGACATAAAAAAGAGGTAATCAGAATTCGGATCCTCAGATTCTGTCACCCTAGGTTCAGAGTGTAACTATTCTCAGTAAGGACCTCTAAAGAAAACATCTCACGAGAAAGTGCAAAGGATGTAAGAAAGTGTATGTCAAGAGAGAGATGTGTGGAGGGGGTGAGTGAGTGGCCAGCTGAGCTGGGACAGAGGAGCCCCTCAGCAGGGAAGGCCTGGCCTCTCCCTCCAGCCGATGCCAGGACACCAGGTCCCGCATGCTGTACGTGGAAAGGGCTCTCTATACAGCTGGGCAAACCATGGGGAAAGGACTTGGAACAAAAAACTCCTATGCTCTTCCCCAAAGAAAGCCCCTTAAAACCTGCTGGCATTTGTCTTTGCTGTTTCTAGGGAGAAAAAAAAGAAACACAGAGAGAAACTATACAGAAGCAATAATTTTTACCTCATAAGTGAGAAAGAGCGGTGCTAACAGAAAATACCCCATTAATAGCTACCTAAATTTAAGTCACTGCATTTTGAACAGCCCTTTACCTTCTGAATGAAGTTTTCTACTTTGCTTTGCAGTCCCCACCACTTGAATTTGATGGTCACCAGCTTATAGGCACACATCTGAGGACAGTCAGGGTTGTTTGCCAGCTCCTTCTAGATGAAGAAAATCGAAAAGGAAAAATCGTGACTTAAATATTTATGTTTTGATGAAAATTGACTGCTGTGTAACGACATCACAGACATACATGAAGAAAAGTACAATCTCGCATGTGTTTAATTCGGGTATCTGGAAATTCAAAATCATTTTAGCAAAAGCAGCGGTACTCCCCTGCTGCAAACCCTCCTTCCACAGACGAAGTTACTTCCTGGCTCTGCAGTTTAATAGGTGCATTGTTGGGACGCCTGGGTGGCTCAGTCGTTAAATGTCTGCCTTCGGCTCAGGTCACGATCCCAGGGTCCTGGGATCGAGTCCCACATCGGGCTCCTTGCTCAGTAAGGAGCCTGATTCTCCCCCTCCCTCTGCTTGTGCTCTCTCTCTCTGACAAATAAATAAATAAAAATCTTTAAAAAAAAAAAAAAATAGGGGCATTGTTGTGTCTCCAACTACACTGTTCAGATTTCATATTAAATACCCAATGCGATCCACCTCACGCCAACAGTGAGCTCGGGTGCGTCAGGATGCTCCTGACGCCATTATCACGTTCCCGCCGTGGCTGTGCTGAGGCTCCACGAAGAACCGTCGGGAAGCGTAGTCAGCTCCTGTGTCTTCTAACACTGGCACAGGGAACGGCACTGTTTGTTAACTGAGGTTGTTACGGTAAAAAAAAAAAACAAAAAAGGGGGGGGACTATTAAAAAAAAAAAAAAAGGAGGGGCACCTGGGTGGCTCAGTTGGTTAAGCGACTGCCTTCGGCTCAGGTCATGATCCTGGAGTCCCGGGATCGGGTCCCGCATCAGGCTCCCTGCTCGGCGGGGAGTCTGCTTCTCCCTCTGACCCTCCTCCCTCTCATGCTCTCTGTCTCTCATTCTCTCTCTCTCAAATAAATAAAATCTTTAAAAAAAAAAAAAAAAAGGAACAAGGGAGAGAGGTGGGGGCTATCTGGATTAAAAGACTAAAGAAGTAATAAAATATAATGTCTATAATGTACTTTCAGAAAACATTAAAAAGCAATTAGAATTTGGAACTTCAGATTATGTCAACCTAGGTTCAGCCAAAAATCTTGTAAATATAATGCATTTGTGTAGAGAGAGGCGGAGAGGGAAGGAGAAAAGAGAAGAGGAGAGGGGACGGTGAAGCGCTAACAACTGGTGAATCTAGGTGGAGGTGCTCATTGTTCTTCCCAGTTTTTTCAGCGAATTTTGAAATTTTTATTGTAAAAACTGGGCAGGGAACTGCAATCTATGTATTACTGCCCATTTCTGTGAAACTAAGTCAGGCTTCTGCTTTGGGAAGTTCAAGGCACTAGCATCTTTATTTTGAGGGAAGGGTTAAGGAGGGGGTGAGCCAAGAGCTTCATGTGGGTCTTCCAAGCTGTGTGTGCAGGAGAACGAAACCCTCCTGGGCTGAGCCAGAAGAGTGCCTGGGACAGGCTCATGCCAGTGAGCAAGAGCAGACACGGTCCTGCCTCTGGAGCTCACGGTCTGCATGGAAAGGACCATTCGGTAAACACTAAGCCCCAGGGCTGGTGTACTTACAAGATGAAAGCTATGTCTCAGGACCCTTTTGCCAAGTCTGAGTAAAACAGTGTGAGCTCCGTGCTTAGCTGGGGGAACTCACGGCTTAATACATATTACTTCTCGCTCTCCTTTATTCTTTCATAAAGTAGGAATTACCAGTTTGAGTTTGCAAAACAATTTTAAATAAAATTTCTCAAAAGGGTACAAAGTCATGTGCAACACTATGGGGGCACTTTTTATAAACACTAAATTGGTGAGTGAAAAGAGAAATGCAGTCTTCTATATAAGGGTTCTTCCCCCTTCTTCACCACTGTTCTCAGCTTCACCCCACACTCAAGACACTACAATGCCAGCATCGGTCACACTGTGTGCCACTGTCCCTTCTTGTCAGCTGCAACCCATTCGCACATCCCACTTTCAGGAGGTTCACTGTCTGTGGCAAATATTCGTTCCATTCAGCCATATGTACATACATTTAAAAAATCATGAATTTCTACGTCATGTTCTAAAACCTCAAAATTATTCTTCATTTATGCAATCATAGCACCAGACCACATTTCCCCCCAAATCCTCAATAATGTTCCAGTTTCAAGGGAATTCTAAAGACAGGATAGATGAAAAAATTCTTTCTTGGTATTATTATTAATATGATTCCACGTTTTATAGAGTCCTGCATGACTGATCAAACTTTTCTCAGAAAATCTCCTGTCATAACATTTCATCCTTTTTTTTTTTTTTTTTTAAAGATTTTATTTGTTTGACAGAGAGAGACACAGCAAGAGAGGGAACACAAGCAGGGGGAGTGGCAGAGGGAGAAGCAGGCTTCCTGCTGAGCAGGGAGCCCGATGCAGGACTCGATCCCAGGACCCCAGGTTCATGACCTGAGCCGAAGGCAGATGCTTAACCGACTGAGCCACCCAGGCGCCCCATATTTCATCCTATTAATGAGCTGGTACATGGGTTAAATCAGTGAGGTAGCACCATTTGCATTTAAATGAAAACATGATATATACAGCAAACTGTCCTTGTACAGGTGAGTTCTATGTCAACCAAAGAACTTGGTTAGCTGAGCTCCATTTTCCCTCCCATAAAAGAGTACTAATGTTAAAAGTCAGCATGGATGTGTATACAATCCCATACACTTTATGAACATGCTTAATTCAGCAAGTATTAAGAGGGCATCATTTACAACCCTATCTGTCCTAGGTGTTGTAGAGGACACAAAAGTGGCCAGTAGAGAAGAGTAATTACATGTGCATAAATAACGATAAAACCACTATCCTTGGTGCTAATGAACTCTACCAGAAGGGACACCTTTCTGTTGCTGTGGCCCTGGCCTGAGACATATTTGTAAACCCCGCACCCCCCCCCGCCCCGCAGGCCCCACGCACTTCAGCTGGGCTCCTGTGTGTGGAAGTAGCCAGCGAGCCAACCTTCCACAGGACACAACTAGCTTCTGAATGCCCAGCCTCACTGAAATTATCACAAGACTGGCCTTTCACATATCATTTTTTTCAATAAGCCACGAGCCAGTGTTGAGGTACTCTCTAATCCAATGAGTGTCACTGAAAACCTTCATATGAAACACAATTTTGGTATATGAAGAATATAGTACTTAAACACCTGTTAAATAGTAGTGTTAGACTAGGAAAAAGGGGACATGGGTTGCAGTTCCCATTATGCAAAGTAACTTTCTATGTAAGGCAGGTAGGATGCTTAACCTCTCTGGGCCTTACTTCTCTGTCAGTAAAAGGAAAGGCTCAACTTCTCATCCTCCACTGACGTGATACTAAAAGCAAGGATGAGTGAACTCAGTTTGTCCGGGGTCGGGGGTGGCCCAGTACTGCAGGCGGTAAGCACATGTCCTTGACATCTGATAGCCTGTCTTGTCTTGCCATTTCCTTTAATTTTGCACTTTATTCTATAATGGGCTTATTAGTGCAATATCCCCCGCCCCCTCCATGCACTTGGGCTAAATTTTCTCTACGGCTGAGAACCTCTGATGCACCACGATTAGCCCTAAGATACCTTCCAGATGGAACATTCCAAGGTCCTATTAATTACAGGCTGCTGATCCCTTCATTCCGAAACTCCGAATCATTGCACACCTTGTGCTAAACGAAAACCTTGGGTGTTTCCAACAGAACACCAACTCCTCAGAATTCTCCTACCATTTTATAAAAACAGCGGGATGAAGCATGGTTCTAATTAAAGAGTAAGCTAAATTTAATACAAATATGCCCATACCACACTTGGGCTCCAAGAGCAGAGCATACACACATGACTTCAACAATTACCTAAGTCTATTTCTCATTCTTTCTAGTGACTCTGGCAGTCTGTTCAAATCAATTAAGGTAATACTGGTAATTTACAAACTAACACTGATCTATAAAATTTAGTTTAAGTGATGGGACAAAATGAACCTGTTCTCTGAACTGTCTTCCCCAGATTTAAAATGTGTATTCCAGTCTCACTGGTTTTTTGTTTTCCATAAAACTTGTAAGTAACTATTAAAGAAAAGAAAAATTCAGGGAATATGTACCAATTAAAAAACAAACAAGTAAACAAAGAGCCTGCTGCCTTTATTTCTTGGCCTAATTCTCTATAGTATCGACACCTTACAACATAAGGCACAGAGGTGACTTACAGAAACATAATCTCAAATAACCAGAGCAAAAAGCTGAGAACAAAGAAGTTATGTTATTTTTTTCTTCAATTAATATATATGTGATATTTAAGGTCTCATTCAGTTCTTAAAATGACTCACGCAATTCCCTCTTATCTTGAGCTATGTATGGCCTTAAGACTAATGGTTAAATTTAAAAATGGCTTAAAAAGTCTCCACACTTAGGGGTGCCTGGTTGGCTCAGTCGGAAGAGCAAGTGACTGTTGATCTTGGGGCCCTGAGTTTGAGCCCCACATTGGGTGTAGAGATCACTTAAATAAACTTAAAAAAAAAAAAAGTATCCATACTTAATGATGAAACCAAAAATAGAGTGATTGCCTAGATGTGGTTAAGTAAAAGCTGAAACGATACTTTTGGCACCATCTTCTTGGGGTAGAATCTGACCACACATCATTACAGAGCCTTAAAGCTGTTCGTTTCCTATGTATACCACATACGCTTTAACCTGGTAATTCCACTTTCAGAGATATATCCCAGTTCATCAGGTAAGGAAACAACAACACTACGGATTTATTTATAATTGCAAAAACCTGGACTTAACGATGAAGTACTTCATAAACCTTCCAAACAATGGGCTACTACACATACAGCCATTAAAAACCATCTTTTCAAAGAATGCTTAATAATGTTCAAAAAAAAAAAAAAAGGCCTAATATGAACAGAAACAGGTATCTGTGCACGGTATAAACACTTATTAACAAAACTACATAACTCAGGAAATGTAACAAATAGCAATAATTAAATGGTGAGACTATAATGATTTTTACTTTCTTCTGTGTACAATTCTTTAT